CCTTATATACATTTCAATATATTTAGCATCTATATATAAGCATTTAGCATTAAACAAATTATATACATGCATTTATAATGTAGGATATTACCCATTAATTATATATATATATGTAATAAACTGAAAAATACAAACGAAAAATGGTATATTCGCATTAGACCGAATTATCTTGTACCCACCATACCTTCGTTGATACAAGAAGAAACTTCCTCCATTTTTCGATAGCTGGCTTATTTGAAATCTAATGTTATGTCGAAAGCAAAATTTCCCATTTCTTCCTTCCATATGATATCATTAGGAACTCGTCAGTAAAAATTTGTGTAGAAGCATATGTCTGTGGTATTGAGAATATAATCGTGAAATCCGCACACGGACCGACATACAGAAAATTGGCTAAACTAACTCCCCTTCGTCGATCAAAATACACAGTCATAGACAAATGTGTATGACAAATTGAACCATACATCTATTAAAGTATATTAATTTGATAGAGAGTTTAATTTTTAGTTGTTAACGCTTCTTAGTAATGCTGCGCAGAAGATATTCTATAAAGAAATTTTTCTTAAACTTTTGTGTTCTCTCGCTGTTTTGAAGTTGTGCACGAAATTTTTGTATAATATATTTGAATTATAGTTCTCTGCTAAACTCAATCCACTAGCTAATAGTTTTCCTGATGGATAAGGGACGGTATTTAACTTCTGAAAAAAGCCATAATCGGAGAAAATCCGATTATAATAGCTACATTATTACAGTTACCAGGACAAATAAAGTTACAAAACGATGATAAATTTCCAGCAAGGGAGTGGTCAAGTTATTTTGTTAGATATGTACAAGTAAACATATTGTAGTAGGCCAATGTCCACCATTAAATATCATAAACTACTCTATTTTTTTCGATATCGTTATTCATATAACCACTGGTCAAAATACGTCGTTATATGGGAAGTAGCCAAAAAACGGGTCCGAACCGTTTTCGACAGCTATTGTCCTTGTATCAAAAGAGGTCAATTTTATCAAATTTGGTCAAAATATTATGGTCTGTAGGTTGAACATGAGAAAATAAGACAAGCAGACAATTTAACAAGCTTGGATGGATTCAGAAAATAATTCAGAAAGTGCTTCTGAATCGATCAGTATAACAAAAGGTGGGTCTACCTCAAGTCTTTCCAGGACGTACATCCGCACGAACTCAATATACAAAAGGTGGTGTAGAATATAATAAAAGAGGTAAGCTGAAACCTAGAAACGCCGCTTCTATTGACAAAGCCAAGTAGGACCAAGAGAGATTTAATCAAACCACCTAAACATAGCCAGAATGAAATGAACGGAAAATTGCCCGTACATGTATTTAATAACTTGGTAGCCAAACCGAAGCGTAGTTTTATGGACGAAACAGCGTAGAAGGAGAACTTTTTGTTTAAAATTCAATATTGTTCATCATTAATTAATGCGCATATCATTGATCAGGTCTATTACTGAAAAAGCTGTTCACCTGGGCGACAACATATTTTTCCCCTCTTTTCATAGAGAAATGAATATATATATAACTGTCAGCGTTGGTGTGATTTTAAGAAACTTCCGAAATATATCATAATCCTTCAGTAAACTGGTCTAATATAAGATAGTGCGCCTGCTGTCGGTGAAGATATAAAATATGTTGTGGAATTTCTCTATAATACGACTTAGAATTAAACTTCTATATCGTTATTGCAATGTCGAAAAATTTGATTAGTAAACTTGCGGTAACTTTAACTAACTCGTCGAAAACGATCATTTTTAAGAGATTAAAAGAAAAAGCCGAAGACAGCCCAAAAGTAACAAATTTGATTGAATGGAAGTAAGGATTTAAATTTGCTTGATTAGTCGATTCAGACTAATCACAAAACGAACTACGAGAAGAAATACTACCCATAGAAAAAAAACTTTACCTAAAACTTGAATAGTAAAACGTATTACGAGTTCTTAAAATTAAATTACAGCTTTACTTTAAACTTAGAAATGCTGAAACGAACAGCAGTCGCGGTAAAAAGTTCTAATAATAATATTTTTAAGTCTGCGTTTTATATAAACTGGTGGTACAAGTATACAGAACAGCTTGAGTTTTGATTTTCTGCTATAGAGAAAAATCAATTTTGAAATTTTTTTTAAAATATTTAGCGATTGTTGGTCTTTAGCGTGAAAAAGCGGGTGTGAAATAGTTCTAAATTTATTTATAGCATCAATCTCTTAGGAAAAAATGTTTCACATCAACCTTTTCCATTAAAAGCACAGTTTTTATTTATTATTAACTCCCTGATAAATCAATAATTTGAAACAAATTCGAGTGGATAATATTTCCGTGTTAACAACACACAGAAATGTGAGCTCTGGAGAAAATTTCCAACTCTAGCCAAGAATATAGAATGTTGCCACATAGTATCATTGATCTCGGGTAAAAGCGTTAAATTCGTGTAGTTGGAAGAATCTGCAAAACTCTCTTAATCTGAACACAAGCCGAAAATTCGTTTGTGTGTAGTTTATAAAAAATACGTAAAGATCAAATGATAAGTTTTACAAACTGTTAAATTAGAAGAATACCAATGATGCATTTTGAAAAAGTATCACTTAATAAATCTCCGCTCTAACACATTTATATTAAACAATACACTCTATTACACACTATTGAAAAACCCTTATGATTTCTGGACAGTACCAGCCTTCAAACGCTATATATATAAAATTATATAATATATAAATTTTAGTGACACCACTTTCGTGATTTCCAAAATAATGGCAAAAAAAAATTAAGTATGCTTCGTAATACGCATTATGGAGTCTCATTATCAGAACAATTAGCCATTATGGAATTTAGACGCGGCCGTACAAGCATTGATAATGAGAAATGCTTTGGCCGCCCCAATTCGGTTGTTTCAGAAATTTTAATTAAAGTGAACCGATTTGGGAGACTGTAAACTGAAGTTCCGTGAGACATCGGAAACACTAAAGATATTAGAAGGCATTGTTTACTTTTTATATAAACATTTGACCATAACAAAGCTTTATTTAAAATGAGTGCCGCGCTTGCAAATTCAGAGCGCTGTTTGAAGCTAAACGTATTTCTTGCGTTGGTATGGACAATGGAAAAGATTTCTAGCTGAATGAGTAGCAGCAAGTGACAGCCGTTCATACCAACCAAAAACTCAAAAATCCACTGGTAAGATTATGGCATCTTGAAGATACTTTGTTTATCGATTTTCTTCAAAAGAGATAAAGGATTAACTGGTTAAATTAAATGAATTACACTACTTTAAGATCAAAGACAAACCATTCTACAAAAATTCACTGAAAGCTTAATGTAGTGTCGGAACGAGAGCGTGTGAGCGAATACAGCCAATTGTTAAAAAAAAAGGTTTTTCTTAGATGGACTGGAGACTTGTTGAGCGATGTGGCATATTGCCGATTTATTTCGAGGTAACATCCATTTATTCAAATATGGCTTGAAAGTTAACCGCATTGTTTTAAGTTCGTGTTCAAAGGAAAACAAAAGTGGTGGTATATATTAATTATAGACCCTACGAACGTAAAATATCACACGCTCTTTTCAAAATTTTTGCACTCTAACTATTTAAAAGTTTTCGCAATATTGAGGCTTTCGAGAAATCAATGAAAAGATGAAACGATGAATGATCAACTGAAAAAAATTTGTTTGGAAAATACTTGTTAAGTTTTTGTGGATATGCCATACGCTTGGTAAAACAACCAGTTTTCTGAATACGAATATAAAAAACTTTACTGGAATTTTATGAAATTATTATTCCTTTAATGTAAAAGCAAACCATATTTAGTTTTTCTTGATTGCTTGGATCTACTTTTAAGAATTTGAATTTGAGACGCAGAAGAACAGAAAATTTGTTTTTCACATCGCATTGCAGAGTAAAAATTCCAACTATTCAAATTCAATGCATAATTTGAAGAAATTCCAATCTGAATCACATTGTAAGGCGCACATCACATAAATTTGTTTATTGTATCATCCTAGATGAGATTTGATAAACTTTTGTGTTTAATCTAATGGACATATTTTAAATTCGAATTTTTTCATTCAGTTGATCTTCAAGATTGTTCGCAACTCACTCTAAGTATAGAATATATGAATGAAGAGGGTTCAAATGTTCTTTTCATTCTACGTACATATGTATATGTATGTATTGTTATGACATTTATATTGTGTTTATATATCTGTGGATATATTACATATATATTCAAATGTCATAATTATAGAGATCTGGTGTCATTTCTCTTCAGGTGGGTGTGCAATATTTTCGATCAGCAACACATTACACAAGTTACTAGAAATAGAAAATAATAAACAAAACAAAAACACAAAACATATAATAACATAAGGTATAACATAAAAAGTAAAATAACTTGCAACAAGAAGTTGGGTTAAGCTTAAATTGATTTTTTATACCCACCACTACTACTATTGACATGAAAAAAAACTTTTGGAAAAATAATTTGCACATATATATAACAATATTCTACATACATATGTTCATCCGACAGTTGGTTGAAAAATAATGCAAAGATCGCATATGCTTTAAAAGTTAATCGAATATACTTCAGACTATGTTAACGTAACGCGATCTCATACATATACGAAAATTATACACCAATTTTCTATTGTATTTATATATTCAGCAACTGTGTGCTCAAGAATGTAGGTTTCAAAAAAAGGTTTTGAGCTGAAAGAAAAAACGGGCCAACTTTTATGAAGTTTGAGAGGACCCATCTAGAACTTTGCTAGTTTGAGTGGGTAGCCGCAGCAGAAGAAACAAATAAACGGACAGGTTGATATAACCAAATCGAACTCGCAATCCGTTCTGATCAAGAATATGTACCTTGTATTACGGTTCTAAGTGGTATATCTTTGCTTTATATACGTTTGTATACTCTAATATAAGTTCTGTGGTGGGCATAATAAATAAAAAAACCTTAAAGTTGAAGCACAGAATACTGACCTGAACAACTCGCTTTTTTAAGTTGATCTTAGTAGCTATTTCCTCTAACATTTTGCGACTCGGATTTGACTCATTTTGGAAGCATTCGTACAAAAAATTCAATTGTTCCGGTAAAATAGTGGTGCGAAGTCTTTTACTTTGCTTATATTCTGGTAAATGTGGTTTCACTGTTGTTGTATTAACAATAGAGTCGAATGTTGGCCGTTGTTCTTGATCGGATACTAAAATATTGGGCGATGTAATTGGTGCTTTTTGATTATTTGAATGGTATTGCGGTTGCTGTTTATTGTTGAGCGTAATAGATCGTTGCTTGTGTACAACAATAGAAGGACGAGCAGCCAATGCTTCTGCAGTTTGAGTGATTGGCAATGAAGCAGAAATTTCAGACGACGATGACAATTGGTCACGAGTTCTATGTCTTTTTTGGTTTGGCTTCACCTCTTCTAAACCATCTAATTGATCTATATGCTCAAGATTTCTATTGCTAGTTTTTCTTTGTAAATCCAGTTTCTCGATCCTCCATGATGATTTATTGTTTATACTCTCATAACTAATTTTATCACAGACTTTGTCTCCATGTGTTTGCTTATCGCTTTTAGCACTGTAATTATTATTACGCTCGTTATCGAACACCTTATTTTGTTCTGAATTTTGTTGCTGATGATGTTCCTCTTCAACATTGTCCTGACTCGTAAGTGAATGAAATAAATTGCTTTGTCTATTCACGTCTTCATCAAGAAAGTTAACATTACCTTCATCATCAACAGTGCTCTCGCTTTTTTGTTTCGTAAAGTTTTCATAACCCTCTTGTATGCTGTTGTTGGTTGGTGTCGACGCTACATCAAGCGTCATTTGTGGAGAGCCATCTATTTGAAAAAACTTTTTAGATTCAGAAAGCTGGTAATACTGCAATAAAAACTCCAAGCTAGGTTTGCTGTCTTGATTAAAATTTGTGCCTTGCTGTTGCTCATTCTTTAGATAATAGTGAAGTAAAAACTCGTAACTATTTCGCTTTTTTGATTCTGTCTGCTGATAAAAGTTCGCCAGAAATTCAAGATTCATTTCAGTATCTTGGGTATAGGATTGCTGCTGGTTATCAGTGATTTGATAACGTAAATTGGCACTGCCTTCGTTCTGCAAAAAGTATTGATACAAGAAATTATACTTTTTTGCCTGGGACTCATATTCATTGCCTGACAATGATATGCCATCCAGCGACGATGCATCGTCAGCGTTTGAAGAAGTTTCGGAATATTTCCTTTTTTTCATAGGCGGTTGGGTTGTTTTTTGATGCTGCTGTTGTTGCTGTACTTGGGCAACTTGTTGTAAGCTTTGCAATATAGTTCCAAAGGGACCATATGTGGCGGCTGCAACTGCGGCTACCGCTGTGTTTGGATCGGTTCCTGGATGCTGTTGGGAGGTTGATGCATACAAATTTAGATTCGGGTTAACCAAATGCAACAGTTGATGTTCGCGCAACTGTTCAAAATTTGTGAAGGTCAGCTTACATTTATCGCAGTCGAACTTTTGATTTTCGGCGCTTGTTTTATATTCAACAGATGGCGTACTGCTTGTATTACCTACTGGCGTTGGTCCGAATTCGCTTGCAGTATTAGATTTGTGAAAATTGGACGGGAGTAATTGAACATGCGTTGATGAGGAAGGATGACCACCTGCTGCCAACAGCATCGCTGTGTTATTTACATCAGCCGATGAATTGGAGTCTTCAGAACTAAGGTTTTGTGCTAATTGCGCTGCAGCTATTTGTGCTTTAGCTGACTTTTTGTTATTCTCTTCTTTAAAGCAATGATTTTTTTGGTGACGTATTAATTCATAGTAACGCTGAAATACCAGATTACATTTTTTGCATGCATAATTTATGTTTTGTTTCTTTTCTTCAGACTCGTACAGTGAGTTATTTGGCTGATTTTCATAAATTTTGCGCTGCTTTTGTCGCGCATTCTAAAAAAATAAATAAACGACGTCAATTTTCATTAGTGATTCAAAAACAAAGAAATACTCACTTGAAACCAGACTACTATAACACGTGGTGAAAGTAAAAGAAGCTTACTGAGATATTCTAAGTCGCTGTCTTTTGGGTAAGAATTGTTCTCGAAAAATTCCTGCAAAACCTTGATCTGATAATCAGTAAAGCGTGTGCGATTCGCACGTTTACCGCTCGAAGTCGACGAAGAATTTGAGGAATTAGAGTTGTTATCAAACTGTACGTGGGAAGGAGAGTGTTTCTCAAACGCCTTAGTGCTAACTGGGTTGACCCCGCTACTGCTGTTTGCTCCTGAATTGTTACTACTGCTATTTTGGTGACTCGGACGCTCTATTAGAGATAGAGCGTTGTTAACAGAGCTAGTATTGGCACTATTTAATTGAAATTTTTTAGGGGGTCCCATGCTACTGCCTGGTAGGCAAGGCATTTGATTCAGCGGCAATGTATCTATGTGCTGTCCCAACAGCTCATTCATACTGTTATATATATTTGGGGTGCTTGAGCGATTAGGAGTTTGAGGACGTGAATGCATATCTGAACTACCGCTTTCGGATTTTGCTTCGTAGCTACCAAAATATGTAGTTGCAGAATATTGCTGATGTTGAATAGTGGTAGTTGATGATGCAACAGTTGTATCGTTCATATCATTTAAATTGTGTTCCATGATGGGGCAACCCACTTTTTGATGCTGTTGATTAAAAAATGTGTTGACGGTCGCACTCGATGGAACAAATGCTTGCTGTTGCTGAATATCGTTATTACTACAATCCATTGATATGGACAAGTTAAGCTCTTTTCTATGTTCAGTCTTTATTGAAACGTCCGCTTCAAATGTTGTGTTTCCTGCACTTGATACTTGCGTGTTTGACATTGTATCAAGATCGTCTGTATATTTCTGTTCATTGTGTTGTTGTTGATGCTGTGCTGCCTGCATGTCATTACTGTTATGATTTAAAATAGCCACAGATATCGGAGGGGAACGTGCTTGCTGTTGTTGCTCATTACGTAAATTATTCTGTTCATTAAGCAATACGACTTTCGCATTGCCAGTTCGCTCGTATTCCTCTAAGTTCAATGTAGTGGATGGAGGATTGTTAAAATTGTAGGGTGAGTCTTTGTTGCGTTGTCGTTCCTTAAAGAGTGTATTACGAAACCAATGTTTAACCACCTAGAAATTAAAGCACACAAAGTCGCTTATACTCATAACTCTAAATTGTATTCAGGTTTTAAAAGAATCTGAGAAAAAGCATTTCTTCTACCAGTAGCTTAAAAATGTATTCAACCAGGTTTTTGAAGGGGATTCAAATAAAAGATTATTAATTAAATAAAAGTCCAAAGAAATCATATAATCATTCCAATTCCAAATGCTTTCCCAATAGTTGAAATACGTGTCTGCAACTGGAAATTATATCAAGTATTATATACTTAAAATTATCGACATCCGTTCGAGCACTGAGTGGGGATGTGATATTTCTTTTAATCAAAAAGCAATATTTAGTCGATATGCGATATTGAGATATTTCCATGGTTTTGAAAATAACGAAATTAACGTCACTGAAACTCGTAAAAAATAATTAAAACTATATATAATTTTACGATCGTCGTGTAAGTGTTGTTACTTTCTAAATGTAGTATAAATTTTTTGTTAGAAAAGAGATTAATGTCTATGTCCCGGAAATTGTAGGTAGGGATTGAGTCCAGCTTATAAAAACAAATTGCCCACTGCTTTACTGGAAAACTTTCTGCAATTTGTTGCAACAAAACGTTAATCTTTAAGATATGTATAATAATTAAGCAAAAATCAGACCAATGACCAATGATAAAAACAAGCTGAGAACAGTAAAGGTACAAGCGTTGTGCAATCATTTAAAAATAATTGGACAAAAATCTTCCTACATTTGGGTGGTACTTATGTGAGGAATATAGGAATAGAACACTTTGTTTGGAATGACGGATGAAAGCAAATCTGGGCAAGATGAGTGATATCATGTGTTTCATGTGTGCTCATTTGTTTCAATTTAACAAAAGCAATTCAAAAGAAAATTTATAGGAGTGCGACACCTACAAACGGCGATCCTTCTAAAGTAACAGAAAAAAGACGAAAAAATAAGATGTTCTGTCAAGAAAAAAGCCACCAAAACTTGTTTTGCTTCGATGAACTTTTCATAACACCGATTGGAATAATAACACAACTTCTTCACATATTACAGGCCTTCCCCAAGGAAGTGATTTTGCAAATCAGAATAAAAATTCAAAACCAGACCTTTGTGGAATTATTTGGAAACAATTTAAAACGATTTAATAAATAAAAGAAAAGTATAGGTCGAGAGAAGAAAAGAGAGTCAAAAACATATATTTTGTAACAAGCTGAAAGCATTTAAAACGAAACAAGTCGAAAAAGCTTTTAATCAGTCTATCCTCAACCAAAAACCGTAGCTCCGACATCAATAAGTAATAGGTGATTTAATCCAAGGTGCAACCACAATCGCATGCATACATGTAAATGTACATATATATCAGTATACTAAATTTTTTTCCTAGATGCCAGATTTATTCAAGCCGAAAGCCATTCGAAAGTTTTTGGAGTGTATGGCTTTGGTTTTCCTTCAATAACTCTTGGAATTCATAGTCTTCGAACTTTTTTGATTGAGGTCGCTCTTTGTCATTGAGATCCAAATCACTACTTTTAAACAGTTAAAACCAAAACTAATTGAAGTATGATGAAGCAGAGCCACCATAAGTACTTGATTGTCTTCGGCACCAGATTTCTTCAAACTAAAAAGCAAAAATAATGAATGTCGCAAAAGCAATTTCCATCTTTCCATGATTAGCGTCTGCAAACGCTGAATAACTCAATAATACTAAATAGAAAACTCAAAATCATCGAATCAATACATTGATACCTTATATTATTTAACCATTTTTACCAATAGATATCGCTGATTAACACCTATTATAATTGAGATAAACGCTGTTCGCTCCGCCCAAGAACGGATTAAGATTATCCAAACAGTTTTCTAATACGATGCGGGGAACGCGGCCACCAGTCCAACTATTCCTATCTTTGGGAAAATAATACTTGCTGTCGGTTTAGAACTGGATAAGGAATTTCCTTTCGTTTTATGTTAACCGGTATAGCCGAACCGGTGATCGGTAACAAAGTTTTTATGCAGATATGGTTTATTAATTGACATCAAGTGTAAACGCTTAGAACATCCTCTGAAAAATTTGTGTGTTAACATTTCGCCACCTATTTACAATATTTCCTTACATAAGCTATTCTTGACAGCCTCTTCGAAGAATGTCCGCGGATGTTTTCAGAACCAGACTACAATGCACCTGCGAAATATCAAACCTTAGGTTCATTAGTTGACTGCAAGCAGTCCAATCTCTTGCTTTAGACAAAGAAGACTAGATCCCATTAATTTCAAGATTGTTAAAACTGAAATTGACTGCCTAGCATAATCTGGTGCACGTATGTCTTCAAACTCCTCGTGCGCTTCTCCTTTGCGTTAGTCCTCGAAAAAGAGTCAAGCGTTTGCCGACCGTGTGGCGACTTTAGAAGATTGTATCAAATTGTTGCATTTGGTCGATGTCCTTTACTACATATTGCCGATTTGAATATTAACCTTAATAGCAATATGTCTTTCATTTATTACACATCTACATATGCCTTTCGGTCTTCGAAATCCGGAACAAACCTTCCAGAGACTTGTTAATGAAGTATGTCACGATCTTGGTTTGGGTTTCTCATATATCCACGGTATCCTAATTACAAACAAAGATGAAAAAGAAAATCTAGAGCAACTGGTTTTTGCAAGATTAAAAAAACACGGAAAATGTGTTCTTGATGTTTCCAATGTAGAATTTTTGGCTTACAGTCTTTCCAGAAATAAACCAAAACCTTCAAAAGAAAAAGTTCGTACTATCTAAAGATTTGTCAGTTAGACGAATACGAATGCACAAGTTTATTGATGTGGTACACAATTTAATCTACGAGTGACAGGGTAGCTAAAAACAAACGCAAAATAATAACTCAGGATAAAATTTCACAGGATGCGTACAAAACAAACAACCTTACGACAACGATTCTTCCAAAAGCGAACCGAACTTTTTTCAAAGGTGATTGTTTCTTTTTTTGTCTTAGCTGGTGTTTTGTGACCACAATTTACTAAAGGAGAAGATTGAACTCCTCGCATTATTTTCACGATAATTGACGTCAGCTGAAACTAAAAACATCTTTGATCGATTATTAGTTATTTAGCGAATGTGCATAAATCAAATTAATGTTTGGTCAACGCAATGTGGTTCTTACATAACAGGAAATTGATCAAGCACACCAAATCTTTTGTAACGTAAATTCCTGTTCCTAAAAGACGTTTTCATAACGTTCATTTGGATATTATAGATCCGTTACGCAAAGTATAAATGTTTCATATATGTATTTACTTCTCTTGACCATTTTATTCGTCTGAAACATTCGAATTTAGAAACATTTCTTTTACTGTAGCTTCGGAGTTGATAACTAAGTATATCTCAGATTTCGGTGTATTCTTAACTGTTACGAGTGACAAGAGTAGATAATTTATGTCCTAAATGTTTCTAGAACTGAGTAAATTATTAGACTCTCATAAAATTGTAACTTCGGCCTACTGTACTCAAGCTAACGAAATGCTTGACTGTATGCAACTTAAGGCGGCGTTATGTTCAAGGTATAACTTTGGAAATTATAGTGAGTGAGTTTCCAATCTACCTACAAGAAAAATCTTGGTGCTACTCGAAGTGAATTTGTCTACGCACGAGATATCCGAAGGAGATCTCATTTCTCTCAGTAACACTAGAGACGTTACCGATGTCGTGTGCAATTCGAAGGAAAAATGTAGAAATGTTAATTCCAATTTGATACATTTTTGAAATCCCGAAAGTAATTCTTTTCTTCTGGAAACTCTCGGCAATTAATCGGATGTTTTGGTCCGACGCACAAACGAATGTTGACTTCAATCGCCTTATGAAAAACCTTCTAAAATACTACGCACAAACTAAAAGTGTTCGAAGTTGAAAGAGTCATTGCCTATAGATCGTATTAAACTGGCTTTTATTGAAAATCACATCGATTCTAAACTCTCTTATACAAACAAAAAAGGAATCTTATTTCACTAAATATAATATCCAAATTTTTTGGAAGATATTATTTTTCTTTTTTTTTTGGCTTGACTATGATATTTTGTCATTAAAAAAAAGTTTGAAATATAACAGATCTTAATTTTGAGAACGAAATTAATGTATTTTTTAATTCAAGCGAAAATTTATAGAAATGCGACACCTGCTACTGCTTTTTGCGAAGCCTAAAAAAATCTGAAAGTTTTAAGAATGTGTCAAGAAAAATTTGGTGGAATAACCTCCACATACTTATATTATGAATCAATGTTTAACGGAAATTTTACCTTCATTGGTAAATTTGCTTTTTGAGACATTTCCATTATGCTCTCTTCACTAGGGGAATTGTTGATGTCGAAATGAGCACGCAGTATTTTTAATTGTTCATCGGTGATCCGTGTGCGCGCTCGTTTTTGATTATTCGACAACTATTTTGAATAGAAGGCGTAAACGTTAAATTAAAATTGAAAAATTGAAATGGGCTAAGCTATGAAATAAAATGTATACCTGTGTACTAGAAAGACCCGGAGATATCTGTTGTGGTTGATGCAACAATTGTGGACCAACATCAGTGTTGCACACTGCAGGCACAACTGCCGGGATACTGGTGCTAATGGCCGTTGAAATATTATTACTGGAAACAACTGATAAGTCCGTTGATGGCAAGTGCGCAGATGTTGGATTGGAGGAACTTGTATGAGCAGTAGAAGGTCGAGTGTTATTGGTGTTGGTGGAACTACTTACCGTGGCTGGATTACCACCGAAAACCAACGGCGGTGCCAAGTTCATGAAGTTTAGCGACATCAAATGATGAAATTGCATAAAATTAAGCATTTCTACGGCATTAAAAGGCATGCCAGATGCTGCAGAAGCAGCTACTAACTGTGGTAATTGGTGTTGAATTTGTTGAAAGTTTGAAAGTGCTGGAATATGCGATAACTGTTGCTGTTGTTGCTCTTGTAAATGATGTAATAAACCTGTCGCTGGTTGTTGTTGCTTAAGTAAAGCTGTAGTAATGGCAGCTATATGTTGTTGCTGAGAAGTTGGTGAATGTACGGCCTGGTCAGCTTTTAAGCTACTTGGCGATAAGGAAGCACTACATTCATCTGGTCCCAGTGGTGGCGTACGAGCGTTCTGTTCACTTAATAGCTTATCATTTATATTTGCACAACGCTCCACCTCGCTTCCAGCAGGAGAAACGGTACCTGGGCTACTGCAGTCACTAACATTCATGGATGCGACCAAGCTATTGGCTATTGTCTGATTGTGAAACTGTTCTATGTGCTTCTGCAACGCTTGGGCACTACGAAAGTTTCGTTGACATGTACCACATTTAGTAGCGTCACGCATTGTATGATAAAGCGCGTGAGTTGCAAGCTTATCTTGAGTTTTGAAAGCTAACGAACATTGTTTGCAGCGGTATTTATAAACGTGGCGTTCTGATATCACTAAACTCATATGATTGTCATTATAATGCGTAAACATGGCTGTTAATGTCGCAAATTGCATTGAGCAACGGTTGCGTTGACTGTTTGAAGCTAAACAAAGATACTCGCCTTGTTTCATATTGTAATGTTGCATTTTTTGCGCGTGCTGTAATAATTCTTGTTCGTGTTTGAACATGGTCTCACATTGCTGGCATTGCAGGTGATCGTAAGTTGGCAGACTATGCCTGTGCAACTGTTGCTGCCCGTTTTGGTTTTTTATCGAAGGGTCCAATGCAGGTTCAGTTGTAACGTAATTGCTGCTAGTTTTTATATTTTGCCAAATGCTATTGTCTACTAATTGCAAAAGTCGTGCTAATCCGCCACTGCTTACATTATGAACAGTCATCAAGTGCACCTCTAGTAATTGTTTTTCAGTAAAAAAGTCCTGGCAAAGTGGGCATTGTACACTAAGGTTTTGCCTTTTTGTTTTAGGAGAGCAACACGTCTCTCCTACTGTCGTTACTACTTGCTTTGGTTCGACCTTTTTTCGGAGATGACTCATTTCATTAAGGCCTTCTTGGGCTACAGCCAATGCGGACAAGGTTTCTGCCGAAACTTCTTGTTTGATTGTAAATGGTTCTAAATCATCATATTTTTCAACTCGAACCGAACCCAGTGTAGACGTTTGACTTAGCGAAGGACAGTCGTACCCATGTAGTCGCGAAGGTGATTTCGTATCTTTTGACGACCTGCTAACAGCTGCTAAAGTTGCAGCTGCCATTGCTGCTTGAAATGCATGTATAGCCATCGGATTAGTAGGTATAACAATATAGTCGTCCTTTTCGCATTGCGGATGGGAGGACGCATAATGTTGCGTCATAAATGTATGTGTTTGAGAAAAATAGTCGCATCGATTACACTTATATAACATTTTAGATATTCGACTTGAAAATTCTGTAGAAAGCAACTCATCATGATTTCTCTCATCCGAATTTAGCAGATCGTGTCTTTCAGAAGTTCGAGTTCCGGTTAAGCTTGCTGACGGCGACCTGCAGGAAACTGGTGAATATGTATATCTATCGAAATTTTCTATTGTATCAATAACGCCTTCAACTTGCAGATTGTTTTCGTTTTTACATGATGCATCTAGGATAGTAATAACAACAATAATAATTATAATTATTATTATAATAATTATAACGTTAGAAAGATGTGTCTGTATGTCCTCACCGTCTGTCGAAATATAGAACAGCGAATTTTACTTTAAGATCACGTTTAAGTGCCTCTTTAAGAGGATTGAAAGCTGTATGAGACGGACGTTCTTGTCATTGCTGAACTAGTTAGTTCCGGAGATTTGGTGGGTTTCAAATTTTTGCCCCAAGGACACTCCACAGACGGTTACAACTAAAAGAAATACATGCTTTACCCTTATAAGAACAAACGGACGGACGAAAACTACATTCCGAACGGATAGACGTTAAGCCATGGGCCATTCTACACCCTACCCTAACCGTGCTTTTCTTTGGCCCATGGATTCAATGAGAGACCCCGAAGTTAGGTCCGATGAGCACTAAGCTACTTTTCTCTGAATAAAAAAATTCTAATTCATTTTTATATATATTTTTTTTTACAATACAAACTTGCTACATATACATTGAGTATATGGAAACTTTCTGAACGTTCAGCAATATAAATTAGTGACATATAACACTAACAGTGGTACACGTAGGTACTTATAAAAAAGAACAAAAACATAATAACGTGTATACTTAACACGTAATGTTGATTACTCTCCGTTTCACATTGCCACTATTTACAGAAGATCCATTGTTGCTGAAGAATTTAGAATAACTGATGCGTTTCGACGACCTCAAGTTATGTAATGTTACTATTTTTTCACAAATAGAGTTAGGTTTCTGCCGACGATATGAACCCCTGTATTCCATTTTACGCGTTGTTGTCGGTTTTGCTGTGACGCGACGAGTACGATTACGACTTATAGGTGTGCTATACATACCCAGACTAATGCTTTTAGTACAGTTCGTCGTAGCACAAAATCTTTATTTTGCTCTGTGTTATCATAGTCTCTTCTGATCTTTTACTGGTGTTGGATACTCTACGATTAAGCACAAAATCTTCATTGTCGTCGTCATTGGCCTTTTGCTCAGAACTATTGCCACTATCAGCAGCCTGTTGCCTTTCATCAAAATTTTCTTCTTTATATTCAGAAGATCTCATGTTAAAACACTAATCATTTGCAAATTTGCTTTCGTTGTTTTAAATCTTTACATTTTAAAATTATAAGATTTTGTGCCTTACCGTCATTATGGCAACATTGTCATGTAACTTTTCCAAAACATTAACAGGTTGTAGGACCAGTGTAAGCACAGGTTTGTAATGCACAGGACAATCTTTGACGAATGAATGCAGGTCACGATCAAAATGTAGGAAAGCTAAACAGCGAAAATGAGACCTATGTAATCAAGTATCTCATATGGTTATTCATGACCTTTAAATTCCTCTTCAATAGCATTGTTCTTTTTAGCTGCATTTATAAGAGAACGCATCTTCACAAACAAAGACTCATTCAAGTGGAGTGTCAAAATTACCTTTCCCTATAGATCTACATAAGCGCCAAGCTTTCTGCGGTAAACTATGTAAAAGAGTTCCATTAACTAATGATGGTCTTAACGTACAAGCCGGTTTAGGTGGCCCAGTTGATGAGCAATTATAATCACCACCTCTACCGAGATTGTTATTCAACGGACTGTTGTTAAGCAGTATGGGCGAATTAATAGCTTGTTTAGTTATATAATTACGAGTTATTAAATATACAAAAGGTAATGGCGTCCCATTGGAAGATCTTCACCATCACTTTAGGAGTGCCAATAGCTGTGAGCGGAAGTATTCATACGTAACGTTTTCAAGCATGGTGCTGCTAAGGCCAGTTCCAGTTTTTTGCCTTGGGAATCGTCTTGCGAGGGTTTGCAAATAATACGAGCACCGTTAGCAGCCGGTGTTATAGGATATGAATGGTGCAAATCAATTGTCGTACCGGCTTGTGTTGCGTGTGTAACAATTGCCGGGGATTCTGCCAATGCTGATTCAACATCATTATCGCCCATTAGTTATGATTTCGTATCAATTTTAAATAATTTTTTATTTTCTTTAAGTTAAAAAACCGTACGCGTAATACAAAAATATTGTAATTATAACCGCATTAATTATAGTAAGCGAATACGACGGTCTTTAATTAGGCAATCAAAAAATAATTCTTAAAATTTACTTCAAAACACTTCAATTCTTTGTAAAGTTGTAAATAACTATCGGACATGGGCCATAATTTTGCAAACATTTATAGCGTTGAAACAAAATGAAGCAAATTATTTTTAAAATTATGACGAGATTTTACATCCTTCAGCTTTCCACTCTCCTCCTAAAGAAACAAAACTCCTTTCCTCTTCTTCTCTCTCTATGTTTTCTCTGTCTGTCAGCGTTTTTCGTTATTGAAATTACTAAGCCTATATTCTACAGGGATATATTTGTAACTAATGGTGCAACGTAGAATTAAATGTTGCATAATAACTATAAGAACAACAACGGCAAGAATATTAACTGTTGCTCAGCTTTTCGTAAACCATTACTATGGGTTTGTTTGGCATGCTGCCGTCAATATCATTTCGTAGTTGGAACTTTATTGAAGAATGCTTAAAAATAACCTTAATTTTCACATAAACATTATGAAAATTTTTTGGGTTGAAAGGTTGGAGGGAGAAAATTCTTGATGTTGTCTTCTTACATTCAGTTACTTCAAACTTTCAAGCGCAATCACGAGCTAGTTGGGAAGAGTCTTTGTCAAATGAGCAGTTTCTATCATTATCAACAAAGGAATCCTTTTTGAATAACAGGTGTCGTATTCTGGAAAATATGGAAAGTTATTTGGAAGACGATTGTGCCAAACCATTCATCCAGGAGAGAGCTTTTTGCTCTTCCCAGGAACACTACATTAGTAATTGTTCCCGTTATTACAAATTTACAGCCCTCATGACCCTATGAGTTGACCCATAAACAGAAATGCTTAAAAAAAGACCACGCAATGAATAATTGAAAGTCTCATCATTGCCATCATTGCCCAACGAAGCGCTATTCATTATACGCCTTCGATATTGCTGCCGTCGTTTTTTTATCCAAATTTGCCAATCAAAAAGCGGAATTATTCATGACCAGTTATCATCGTATCAGATATGACAGGTTATCAGTTTAGCCTCAACGCTGACATTCCAAAAAACGTGCGATTAGTAGATCCCTCATTTCATAAAACAGGCTTTTAATTTACGCTGATCTTTTCGTCGATTTGATGTGTACTGACTAAATTTGCTTGACAAAAAATTTCCGTACTTTGCAGAAAACCCTACATGGGTGGGTCGTCTTTCGTGATGTATTTTCTGCTTCAAATTCGTGGTAATTCCTCGCAAGCGTTAAGCCTTTTGAGCATGAAGAAGGCAATTTGGATACACTAGATATCATGATATTGGGAGTTGGAAATAACTCACATGAACTTTGTCCTGCTAGCGGTGAACATAGTATTTGTGAGTTACTTTTTCAACAAAAAACAACTCTTCTCGATTCAGGTGCCTATTCTGTAAGTATGCCAACAGTAGAAGTAAGTTGACTTGCTGTGAAATTCTTATGAGTATGCTTTTCAGCGTTTTTCAGTCTATTCAGTAATTCGTGCTGTGCAGCAACTTTCGGTTGATGAAGCAAATGGTTTTCGTTTGGCTTCGCAGATTCCAAGACTGGATTTTTGCGGTGATAGTTTCATGGATAAAACAGGTAAAATGCGACAAGTTACATTCTCATTTCAAAAAGGCGGTTTCATAATATGAAAAAGGTGCTCAAACGATCAAGCCGCCTTAGATGAGGTTTCACCAGCAGGCCCTAAACACTTCCCCAAATTTTGTGGTAGAACTAATCTAATAAAGACTAAAAGCCGCACTAACAATTCAATAAATACGAAGATCAAAGTGTTCATGCAAAGTTTAAGGAAAAATAATCTGCAGTGGGATGAAAGCTTAGAAATTGATGCGGTTGGACT